CTCTCTGGTCTCTCTCTGGTCCTCTGGTCTCTCTCTGGTCTCTCTCTGGTCCCTCTCTCTGGTCTCTCTCTCTGGTCTCTCTCTGGTCTCTCTCTGGTCTCTCTCTGGTCTCTCTCTGGTCTCTCTCTGGTCTCTCTCTGGTCTCTCTCTGGTCTCTCTCTGGTCTCTCTCTGGTCTCTCTCTGGTCTCTCTCTGGTCTCTCTCTGGTCTCTCTCTGGTCTCTCTCTGGTCCTCTCTCTGGTCTCTCTCTGGTCTCTCTCTGGTCTCTCTCTGGTCTCTCTCTGGTCGGTCTCTCTCTGGTCTCTCTCTGGTCTCTCTCTGGTCTCTCTCTGGTCTCTCTCTGGTCTCTCTCTGGTCTCTCTCTGGTCTCTCTCTGGTCTCTCTCTGGTCTCTCTCTCTGGTCTCTCTCTGGTCTCTCTCTCTGGTCTCTCTCTGGTCTCTCTCTGGTCTCTCTCTGGTCTCTCTCTGGCTCTCTCTGGTCTCTCTCTGGTCCTCTCTCTGGTTCTCTCTCTGGTCTCTCTCTGGTCTCTCTCTGGTCTCTCTCTGGTCTCTCTCTGGTCTCTCTCTCTCTCTGGTCTCTCTCTCTGGTCTCTCTCTGGTCCTCTCTCTGGTCTCTGGTCTGGTCTCTCTCTGGTCTCTCTCTGGTCTTCCTCTCTGGTCTCTCTCTGGTCTCTCTCTGGTCTCTCTCTGGTCTCTCTCTGGTCTCTCTCTAGTCTCTCTCTGGTCTATCTCTGGTCTCTCTCTCTGGTCTCTCTTGGTCTCTCTCTGGTCCCTCTCTCTGGTCTCTCTCTGGTCTCTCTCGGTCTCTCTCTGGTCTCTCTCTGGTCTCTCTCTGGTCCCTCTCTCTGGTCTCTCTCTGGTCTCTCTCTGGTCTCTCTCTGGTCTCTCTTTGGTCTCTCTCTGGTCTCTCTCTGGTCTCTCTCTGGTCTCTCTCTGGTGTCTCTCTGTCTCTGGTGTCTCTCTCTCTCTGGTGTCTCTCTCTGGTCTCTCTCTCTGTTCTCTGTCTCTCTGGTGTCTCTCTCTGTTCTCTCTCTCTCTGGTGTCTCTTCTGGTGTCTCTCTCTAGTCTCTGGTCTCTCGGTCTCTCTCTCTCTGGTCTCTCTCTCTGGTCTCTCTCTCTGGTCTCTCTCTCTCTCTCATTCTCTCTCTCTCTAGTCTCTGTCTCTCTCTCTCTGGTCTCTCTCTGGTCTCTCTCTCTGGTCTCTCTCTGGTGTCTCTCTGGTCTCTCTCTCTGGTGTTCTCTCTGGTCTCTCTCTCTCTCTCTCTGGTCTCTCTCTGGTCTCTCCTCTCTGGTCTCTCTCTGGTGTCTCTCTCTCTGGTCTCTCTCTCTGGTCTCCTCTCTCTGGTGTCTCTCTCTGGTCTCTCTCTCTCTGGTCTCTCTCTGGTCTCTCTCTGTTCTCTCTCTCTGGTTCTCTCTCTCTGTGTCTCTCTCTGGTCTCTCTTCTGGTGTCTCTCTCTGGTCTCTCTCTCTGTTCTCTCTCTGGTCTCTCTCTGCTCTTTCTCTCTTGGGTCTCTGGTTCTCTCTCTGAAGGTGTAGTAATGGCCGCCGCTGTCACCTGACCCATCACAGAGAGGATTCTGCTCTTCAAAGACCAGAGCATGAATCCACAAATCTCTCAGAACTCTTGGTTCTGATCTCAATCTTGGTCTGGCCAGACTAATGAGCCTCGCTCTTGGTTTCTCGTTATTAAAGTAAATAAAACCAAATACTTATTTTATTTATTGGAAATGTTATGGTTGAATCTCATCTCGGGAGTTACAGGGATTCTGCTCTGTGTCAAATGTAGATTCATTATCTCTGGTCTCTCTCTTGGTCTCTCTCTGGTCTCTCTCTCTGGTCTCTCTCTGGTCTCTCTCTGGTCTCTCTCTAGTCTCTCTCTGGTCCCTCTCTCTGGTCTCTCTCTGGTCTCTCTCTGGTCTCTCTCTCTGGTCTCTCTCTGGTCTCTCTGGTCTCTGGTCTCTCTCTCTGGTCTCTCTCTCTGGTCTTTCTCTGGTCTCTCTCTGGTCTCTCTCTGGTCCCTCTCTCTGGTCTCTGGTCTCTCTCTCTGGTCTTTCTCTGGTCTCTCTCTGGTCTCTCTCTGGTCTCTCTCTGGTCTCTCTCTGGTCTCTCTCTGGTCTTCTCTGGTCTCTCTCTGGTCTCTCTCTCTGGTCTCTCTCTGGTCTCTCTCTAGTCTCTCTGGTCTATCTCTGGTCCCTCTCTCTGGTCTCTCTCTGGTCTCTCTCTGGTCTCTCTCTGGTCTCTCTCTCTGGTCTCTCTCTGGTCTCTCTCTGGTCTCTCTCTCTGGTCTCTGGTCTCTCTCTCTGGTCTTTCTCTGGTCTCTCTCTGGTCTCTCTCTGGTCTCTCTCTGGTCTCTCTCTGGTCTCTGGTCTCTCTCTCTGGTCTTTCTCTGGTCTCTCTCTGGTCTCTCTCTGGTCTCTCTCTGGTCTCTCTCTGGTCTCTCTCTAGTCTCTCTCTGGTCTATCTCTGGTCCTCTCTCTGGTCTCTCTCTGGTCTCTCTCTGGTCCCTCTCTCTGGTCTCTCTCTGGTCTCTCTCTGGTCTCTCTCTGGTCTCTCTCTGGTCTCTCTCTGGTCCCTCTCTCTGGTCTCTCTCTGGTCTCTCTCTGGTCTCTCTCTGGTCTCTCTTTGGTCTCTCTCTGGTCTCTCTCTGGTCTCTCTCTGGTGTCTCTCTCTCTCTGGTGTCTCTCTCTGTTCTCTCTCTCTCTGGTGTCTCTCTCTGGTGTCTCTCTCTGGTCTCTCTCTGGTCTCTCTCTGGTCTCTCTCTGGTCTCTCTCTGGTCTCTCTCTGGTCTCTCTCTGGTCTCTCTCTGGTCTCTCTCTGGTCTCTCTCTGTGGTCTCTCTCTGGTCTCTCTCTGGTCTCTCTCTGGTCTCTCTCTAGTCTCTCTGGTCTATCTCTGGTCCCTCTCTCTGGTCTCTCTCTGGTCTCTCTCTGGTCTCTCTCTGGTCTCTCTCTGGTCTCTCTCTGGTCTCTCTCTGGTCTCTGGTCTCTCTCTGGTCTCTCTCTCTGGTCTCTGGTCTCTCTCTCTGGTCTTTCTCTGGTCTCTCTCTGGTCTCTCTCTGGTCCCTCTCTCTGGTCTCTGGTCTCTCTCTCTGGTCTTTCTCTGGTCTCTCTCTGGTCTCTCTCTGGTCTCTCTCTGGTCTCTCTCTGGTCTCTCTCTGGTCTCTCTCTGGTCTCTCTCTGTCTCTCTCTCTGGTCTCTGGTCTCTCTCTCTGGTCTTTCTCTGGTCTCTCTCTGGTCTCTCTCTGGTCTCTCTCTGGTCCCTCTCTCTGGTCTCTGGTCTCTCTCTCTGGTCTTTCTCTGGTCTCTCTCTGGTCTCTCTCTGGTCTCTCTCTGGTCTCTCTCTGGTCTCTCTCTAGTCTCTCTCTGGTCTATCTCTGGTCCCTCTCTCTGGTCTCTCTCTGGTCTCTCTCTGGTCCCTCTCTCTGGTCTCTCTCTGGTCTCTCTCTGGTCTCTCTCTGGTCTCTCTCTGGTCTCTCTCTGGTCCCTCTCTCTGGTCTCTCTCTGGTCTCTCTCTGGTCTCTCTCTGGTCTCTCTTGGTCTCTCTCTGGTCTCTCTCTGGTCTCTCTCTGGTGTCTCTCTCTCTCTGGTGTCTCTCTCTGTTCTCTCTCTCTCTGGTGTCTCTCTCTGGTGTCTCTCTCTGGTCTCTCTCTGGTCTCTCTCTGGTCTCTCTCTGGTCTCTCTCTGGTCTCTCTCTGGTCTCTCTCTGGTCTCTCTCTGGTCTCTCTCTGGTCTCTCTCTGTGGTCTCTCTCTCTGGTCTCTCTCTGGTCTCTCTCTGGTCTCTCTCTAGTCTCTCTGGTCTATCTCTGGTCCCTCTCTCTGGTCTCTCTCTGGTCTCTCTCTGGTCTCTCTCTCTGGTCTCTCTCTGGTCTCTCTCTGGTCTCTCTCTGGTCTCTGGTCTCTCTCTGTCTCTCTCTCTGGTCTCTGGTCTCTCTCTTTGGTCTCTCTCTGGTCTCTCTCTGGTCTCTCTCTGGTCTCTCTCTGGTCTCTGGTCTCTCTCTCTGGTCTCTCTCTGGTCTCTCTCTGGTCTCTCTCTGGTCTCTCTCTGGTCTCTCTCTGGTCTCTCTCTGGTCTCTCTCTGGTCTCTCTCTGGTCTCTCTCTGGTCTCTCTCTGGTCTTTCTCTGGTCTCTCTCTGGTCTCTCTCTGGTCTCTCTCTGGTCTCTCTCTGGTCTTTCTCTGGTCTCTCTCTGGTCTTTCTCTGGTCTTTCTCTAGTCTCTCTCTAGTCTCTCTCTGGTCTCTCTCTCTGGTCTCTCTCTGGTCTCTCTCTGGTCTCTCTCTGGTCTCTCTCTGGTCTCTCTCTCTGGTCTCTCTCTGGTCTCTCTCTGGTCTCTCTCTCTGGTCTCTGGTCTCTCTCTCTGGTCTTTCTCTGGTCTCTCTCTGGTCTCTCTCTGGTCTCTCTCTGGTCTCTCTCTGGTCTCTCTCTGGTCTCTCTCTGGTCTCTCTCTGGTCTCTCTCTGGTCCCTCTCTCTGGTCTCTCTCTGGTCTCTCTCTGGTCCCTCTCTGGTCTCTCTCTGGTCTCTCTCTGGTCTCTCTCTGGTCTCTCTCTGGTCTCTCTTTGGTCTCTCTCTGGTCTCTCTCTGGTCTCTCTCTGGTCTTTCTCTGGTCTCTCTCTGGTCTTTCTCTGGTCTTTCTCTAGTCTCTCTCTAGTCTCTGTAGTATCCTTGTCATTAAAGAAGTCATAAACACCGGGTGGCTTATACGGGGTTTTAATCATCAACATGCAGCCAACAACATAACAGAGACTGAGCCGCCAAGAGCACTCTTCTTATCACCCTTATCCCACACTGCCACCTATAGGTTTGTGGTAAGATAACACTATCCTATATTACACTCCTCCCCCCTTAAGCGAGTACTAAAATTACCATAATGAATAAACCAAACAACACAAACTGTTACAAGCCCTTCAGTAGCCATGCCAAACCTTTTAAACTCAGTTAACTAAACTTAGCTTGAAACTTAACATAGTAACAGTTTTCTTCTTCTTTCCTTTTATATTTCTAGATTACTTCCCACAGACATAGTCTTTCAGAAAATTGGGTTTAGACACGGTTCGTTGAGACCGGCGTGCAGGCACCACCAGCGGCGCTTCCCTCACGGTCTCTGGAATGACCACCATTGATGGAGTTGTTATGTCCCTGAGTTGTGGATTCCCTTCCAGAGCACCACTCACGCTTACTGCTCCAGGTTCCTCTGACAATGGTGTAGCGTCAGCCGACACAAGTGGTACTGCTGGAGGTCCCGTTCCCTCCGGGTCAATAATGTCTTTTTGTTCAGGTCTGTCCAGTATCTGGTCCACATGCCTACGCACTATGGAACCATCCCCTAACATGACTTTGTAAGACACAGGGCCGGTGACTTTGGTAATGAAGCCTTGGATCCACTTGGGCCCATAACTAAAGTTTCGCGTGATGACTGCATCTCCGATTAAGAAACTTCTCACTGTTCTTTGTTTGTCATGATGCTTCTTTTGAACGCCCTGCTTCTGTTCCACCTTGGATCTCAGGTCAGGATGCACTAGATCCAAAGTTGATCTTAACCTACGACCTTGTAGCATTTCAGCGGGTGACAACCCTGTGGTCGACTGAGGGGTAATGCGGTAATTAAATAGCACCCTCGAAACTTTAGTCTGGATATTTCCTTCACCCGCCTTTTTCATCATGCACCCGCTCGGCGCAACCGTTTGAAGAAGGGTGGTATGGAGCCGAGGTTATGTGATCAATGCCGTTATTTTTCATAAAATCTTTAAACTCAGCACTCACAAAACATGATCCATTATCCGACACCACCATCTCGGGCAACCCTTGACTGCTGAAACTTTTCCGTAGACACTCGATAGTTTTAGCTGAAGTTGCTGTTGAAACAGGGTATGCGTCCATCCATTTTGAATGAGCATCCATTAAGATCAAAAACATATGACCCATAAATGGTCCTGCATAGTCTATGTGTAGCCTTTGCCACGGTTTGCTTGGCCACTCCCAAGGGTGGAGGGGCGCTGGAGCCGGAACGTTACGATGTTCTTGACATGTGCTGCATCCCTTCACCACTGTCTCAATGTCTGTATCTAGCTTTGGCCACCAAAAGTAGCTACGTGCTAAGGCTTTCATTCTGGTAATGCCTGGGTGACCATGATGCAGTTGGCGAATCAAAGCTCCCCGACCTGGCGGGGGCACCACCACGCGTGACCCCCACAATACACAACCATCTTGCACACTTAACTCCATTTTCCTGACGGAATAAGGTTGGAATGCTGGGTCTGACTGTTGTGACGGCCAACTATGTTGAATGAACTGCCGAACTCGGGACAACACAGGGTCTTTACGTGTCCACTGGCTCACTTCGGTTGCTGATACCAGCAACGCGTCCTCCATCATCAGCACTCGATCCTCTTGCACTTTCTCTGTCGATGGCTGAGGCAGGGGCAGTCGGCTCAGCGCGTCTGCGTTGCCGTGATATTTCCCTGGCTTGTAGACAATCTCATATTCATATGCTCTCAAAGTCACCGCCCACCTTTGGATGCGAGGGGATGCCATTTGAGGCACAGCTTTCAACTCATTGAAAAGTGACAATAGTGGTTTGTGGTCTGTGGAAATGACAAACCTCCTTCCATACAAGTACTTATGGAAACGCTGAATGCCGAACATCACTGCCAGTCCTTCCTTGTCCAGTTGTGAGTAGTTTGATTCGGCTGGCGTGAGTGTCCGTGACATGAAGCCAATAGGTCGCTCTTGCCCGTCTGACATACGATGTGACAACACCGCCCCCACACCATAAGGCGACGCATCGCAGGCCAATAATAAGTCTTTCTGGCTGTCATAATGCACTAAGACCTTTGACAACTGCAAGAGTTTCTTAGACTCCCCAAAAGCCCTCTCTTGCTCCTCCTTCCAACACCACGGTGTATCCTTTCTCAACAGTTTATGTAAGGGCGCAAGCAACGTTGACAGGTTTGGTAAGAATCTGTTGTAGTAGTTAAGTAAACCTAAGTACGACTTCAATTCTGTGACATTTTTAGGTGCAGGTGCTTGTCCGACGGCCTTTACCTTGTTTGGCAGGGGATGGAGCCCCGCAGAATCCACTTTGTGCCCCAGGAATTCCGCCTCTCGCTCCAAGAAGGCACATTTATTGCGTTTCAATCGAAGACCTGCCTCTTGTAGCCGCCTCAGAACCTCATTTAACGTCTCCAGATGCTCGTGGTCACTCCGGCCCGTCAGCAGGATGTCGTCCAGGTACACAGCCACATTAGGGATTCTTGACAGCAGTCCTTCCATCATTCGTTGAAATATAGCGGGACTGGAAGAAACACCAAATGGTAAGCGATTCACCTGAAAGAGCCCTTTGTGTGTGTTAATGGTGACATACGGCTTTGATGTCTCATCAAGAGAGACTTGTTGATATGCGTGACTAAGGTCCAGTTTGCTGAACTTCTCTCCCCCAGTCAGCTTCTCAAACAAATCCTCCAACCTTGGTATTGGATACTGCTCTAGCTTAGAGACTGGGTTCACCGTGAGTTTGTAGTCTCCACAAATGCGTGCCCCTCCGTCAGGCTTCAACACCGGTACTATTGGTGCAGCCCATTCTGAGAACTTCACTGGTTCAATGACCCCCTGCTTGGTAAGTCTCTCCAGCTCTGTCTCTACTTTCTTCCTCATGGCATAAGGTACGGGCCTAGGCTTGTAGAACTTTGGGGCAACATTCTCTTTAATGTATATTTTTGCCGGCGGCCCTCTCCAGGTCCCCAGTTCCTCTTTAAAAACCTCTTCGTTCTGTTTAAGCACATTTTGTAAAGTAAGTGGAGAATGATCCATTTTGTTGACATGCACACAGTTCATTTTCAACTCCCTTAGCCATGCTCGACCTAGCAGGTTTGGCCCTCTGCCCTCTACCACGACCAGTGGTAACTGTTTGACTTTGTCCTTGCACGTCACAGTCACTTTTGTAGTCCCTAATGTAGAGACTTTTTCACCCGTATATGTTTTCAAAGTCAATGGGCAATTTTGCAGTTCTTGTGCCTTTCCTTCTGGCCACAACTTGCTGTATTCAGTCTTTGTCAAAATTGTCACACTACAGCCTGTATCCACCTCGAACATTACTTTTTTTCCATTTATTACTAGCTGTGTGGTAATAGGGTCTACCTTTTCTAACTTTGATTCTTTTACTTTGTGTAATGTAAACACTTCTTCATCACTAGATTGTGTCTCAGAGGACTCATCCATGTGGTGTGCATACTGTTTTTTTTCCTTACGGCTACCTTTCTCCCCCTTCACAAAACTCTTTCCACCCCCCTTAGTCTGCTGGGCACCCGGAGGCGCGGACCTGCACATTTTCTTCACGTGCCCTTTTTTACCACAGCCATGACATTTTTCATTTATAAAACGACAGTCCCGCGCAAAATGATCACCCCCACACCTATAACAGTCTGATGGAACGCTCTTACTTTGTCGTTTATTCTCCGTTCCCACTTTATGCACTGTCATTGGTGTTGCATTTTTCCCCGCCGCACTGTCCAGCGTCGGCTGCAAGTCACGCACATCCCTGTTTGCCGTTTCGATGGCCTGCGCGATTTTCAAGGCTTTCTCAAATGTCAAGTCGGGCTCCGCCAACAGCCTCCTCTGTATGCGGTCCTCCGCAATGCCACACACGAGCCTATCCCGCAGCATCTCCTTCAGCTTGTCCCCGTAGTTGCAATGTTGAGCCAGCTCCCTCAGCACAGCCACATACTCCGTCACAGTTTCGTTTGCCGTTCTAGTCCTGGAATTAAATTTAAATCTCTGAACTATTTCACTGGGCTTTGGATTGAAATGTGACTGAAGCAGGTTAGTCAACTCCGTGAATGACTTATCACCAGGTTTGTCCGGGCTCAACAAGTTTCTCATCAAACTGTATGTCTTGCTTCCAACGGAGCTCAGCAATATTGCACGCTTTCTTCCTGCATCAGTGATGTTATTAGCCTCGAAGAAGTGTCCCAAAACCTCACAGTACTCCTCCCAAGTCTGCGCTTGACTGTCAAATACCGAAAGCGTCCCCATCATAGCCGCCGCCATTCCTCCGGCAACTGCGTTAGCCTGGTTAGCTCCCTCGTTGTCCGACATTGGCCGAAAATCAATTCAGAAACGCTCGAGCCGTTTCCTTCCCAACAGCGTCCTCGAGCTCACCAGTATCCTCGTCGCCAAATGTAGTATCCTTGTCATTAAAGAAGTCATAAACACCGGGTGGCTTATACGGGGTTTTAATCATCAACATGCAGCCAACAACATAACAGAGACTGAGCCCGCCAAGAGCACTCTTCTTATCACCCTTATCCCACACTGCCACCTATAGGTTTGTGGTAAGATAACACTATCCTATATTACAGTCTCTCTCTGGTCTCTCTCTCTGGTCTCTCTCTGGTCTCTCTCTGGTCTCTCTCTGGTCTCTCTCTGGTCTCTCTCTGGTCTCTCTCTGGTCTCTCTCTGGTCTCTCTCTGGTCTCTCTCTGGTCTCTCTCTGGTCTCTCTCTGGTTATATCTCATCTGTTTGCCTCTCTGTTATTAGAACAGAGGAGGAAGGAGGACGGTTATACAAATGTTGACTAAATTAAACATCTGGCTGAATATTTGTGACAAATATTATACGATAAGGAAAAGAGAACATTTATTCTTCCCACAGAGAGAAGCTGTCAGTCTGAATGTGGAGCAGAAAGGACAGATTTAAGAGCACTTAGACACGATAAATACCACCCTTTTAATAGAATATCTTAACACACAATTTCATACAGACTGAGCGGATAACGCTTTAGCTATAATTGCACTTGTGAGAATAATAAAGACAAACTTGTATAGCGTTTTTTTGGACCTTCAACGATGCTTTACAAAACTTATAAAATAAACATAGAAACATTAAGATTAAGGAAACAGGTGGGTTTTGAGAAGTAGGAGTTTCTGATTGGTTGTGGGAGTGAGTTCCAGAGAGTGGGGGTCCCTCAGGGTTCGGTGCTTAGTCCTGAGGGGTTTAGTGAAGAGGTTGGAGTCGTTGGACCTGAGGCGGCGGGAGGGACAGGGATGATGGAGGAGGTCAGTGAGGTTATGGAGGGGCTTGTATTCTGGGACAGGGAGCCAGTGGAGTGGTCTGAAGACGGGGCTGACGTGTTCTCTGGAGTGGGTGTGGATGGGTTTTAGTTTTTGGAGATGAGTGGAGGGGAGACCATAGAGACAGGTTTTCACACGAGGAGCTGAAATCAGTGCATAGACCATGTAGAAGTGGACTGACCCAGTGTCACGATTCGAAAACGACGAAGGACCCAAAATGCAGGACTGACAAAAATGTAAGATTGAATACACAAAATCTCAAAAATAACTAAATCCAGGGTTACAGAACTCCAAACCCGAATCCTAACCAAGACGAAACAGGGTCAAAAACACAATGGACCATCAACAAGGGGAGAGGAGCACAGGGACACACAGGGCTGAGGAGCACAGGGACTGGCCTCCTGCTGGGACTCTGAGGAGCACAGGGTCTGGCCTCCTGCTGGGACTCTGAGGAGCACAGGGACTGGCCTCCTGCTGGGACTCTGAGGAGCACAGGGACTGGCCTCCTGCTGGGACTCTGAGGAGCACAGGGACTGGCCTCCTGCTGGGACTCTGAGGAGCACAGGGACTGGCCTCCTGCTGGGACTCAGCAGGAGGAGCCAGAGTTGCCTTGTGTATGAACTGATACAAAGTCAATAGGAGCCAGAGTGAGTCGGAGCAAAGTCTCGACCAATGGCACTTTCTCATTGAGCTACAGTGAGCTAGCATGATAGCATCGTCCATCTATATACAGGCCACAAATCAAACTCAGCCGAGGGACGGAGAAGACCAGGCTCTGCTCTCTCTATAGGAGGAGCCAAAACCACCGGGGACAAGGAAAAAGCAAAGGAAGGTATTGTGTGCAGACGAGAGATGAAGGAGAAGCATCTGCCCTGGTTCAGCGCTGAGCTCCTGTGTCCTGCAGAAAATCCAATCCTTCAGACTTGGCAGATAGTGTTACCATGAGAACAGCGGTGGGGCTATTGTCAGCAGAGGCAGAGAGGGAGGACGTGAGCGGGAGAGAAAGGCCAGGCTCCGTCCAACAGACCATCTGTTATGTCCAGCTTACCCCCGGCTCAGAGCACAACCTGCCGCTGGAGAGGAATGCACCGTGTCCAACAGGAAGACCAGCCGGGGACCAGGGCCAAGAGAGAGACCGAGCTGCATTCAGAGAGAGAGAGACCGAGCTGCATCTAGAGAGAGAGAGACCAAAGAATTTGGATAGAGACCCCTCAAAAAACCCCAGTGTATTTGAATCCATAGTCTCTCACTCAAATTCAATTCAATTCTGTGTATTTTTGCATTGACCTAAATCACTCTCTCTGGTCTCTCTCTGGTCTCTCTCTCTCTCTCTAGTCTCTCTCTGGTTTCTCTCTCTCTCTCTAGTCTCTCTCTAGTCTCTCTCTGGTCTCTCTCTCTCTCTCTGGTCTCTCTTTCACTCTGATCTCTCTCTCTCTTGTATCTCTCCGGTCTCTCTCTGAACTATCTCTCATCTCTCTCTGGTCTCTCTCTGGTCTCTCTCTAGTCTCTCTCTCGGCTCTCTCTGGTCTCTCTCTCTCCACAGAGAAGGAAGTACAATCACAGCATGTAAAGAGAGACAAGAGAGAAATCAGAGGGAGAGGCCAAAACGAGAGCAGAGAGAGACCAGAGAGAGAGACCAGAGAGAGACCAGAGAGAGAGACCAGAGAGAGACCAGAGACAGACCAGAGACAGACCAGAGACAGACCAGAGACAGACCAGGGAGATTCCCACCGTTCAGCTGCAGCCTTTAGCCTTCAGCTTCTCCGGATGTGGTCACTGGTTTGAACAGGAAGTGGTTGTGTTGGTTTTGTTGTACATCGTCTACTGTACAGATGTTTGCAGATTTGTTTTTACAAGACTCTCTGTTGGGACAAAGAACATGGATTATTCACGAGCGGGAAATACAAAAATACAAACAAAATGTAGCTTATGATGCTAGCATGAGGTTGACGGTTATGTTCCACTTTGTCTTCAACAAACTCTAAAAAATGGAGTCTGGTCCATCTGTAAAGTGCACTATTGTCCACATGGTACTGCTTCTGCTTCAGCCTCAGCCGTCTTCTACCAGAAATGAACCACACTTCTGGGCAAATACTATGAGAGTAGCTGTGTCTCCTGCTGATCTCGCGGAGGCAGAGGATAATTTTGGGCTAAAATGCAACATTACACAGAGTCAAATATAACCCAGGTTTTTTTTAATCCCTCACTAAGATAACTATCTAAGACACATTTTGCCAAATTTGAGCCATTTCCGACTTATTTTCCATCACACTGCGTCATCTCCAGCCTCAGACTGTTGGAAAGATGAAACAGAATGTGCTTTCGTCCTGCCGCACCACCTGCCATCAGCACATCTTTTGACACTCAGCCCGATCTTCCCTCTGCCCCATAATCTGGTCTTTGTCCCACATTCTGCACCTACTGGCTCCTTCTCCCTCATTCTGTTTCTCTTAAGCCGGAACATCTCGGCCTGGCTTTAAGATCAGGAAATGAAAGTATGCCTCTGTGCTTGGCAGAGTGGAGACCCATAAACACACGTGTGGCAGAGCTCTCTTGTTTCTAGGCAAAGATCGGGCTCTTCTCTGTCGGAGCGAAAGGTTCTGTTCAGGAAGGTTTCTCACACGCAGCAGAGAGAAGAACAAAACAGCTTTTGTAATTGCACTGGGTTTTTAAGAGTTGTTCCTCGCTGATGGTTCAAGTACAGTGGTGAGCAGAGAGAGACCAGAGAGAGACCAGAGAGAGAGCAGGGAGAGACCAGAGAGAGACCAGAGAGAGACCAGAGAGAGACCAGAGAGCGACCAGAGAGAGACCAGAGAGCGACCAGAGAGAGAGCAGAGAGACCAGAGAGAGAGCAGGGAGAGACCAGAGAGAGAGCAGAGAGAGAGCAGAGAGAGAGCAGAGAGAGAGACCAGAGGGAGACCAGAGAGACCAGAGAGAGACCAGAGAGAGACCAGAGAGAGAGCAGAGAGAGAGCAGAGAGAGAGCAGAGAGAGAGACCAGAGAGAGACCAGAGAGAGACAAGAGAGAGAGCAGAGAGAGACCAGAGAGAGACCAGAGAGAGAGCAGAGAGAGACCAGAGAGAGACCAGAGAGAGACCAGAGAGTGACGAGAGAGAGACCAGAGAGAGAGACCAGAGAGAGAGACTTGAGAGAGACCAGAGAGAGACCGGAGAGAGACCAGAGAGAGACCAGAGAGAGACTTGAGAGAGACCAGAGAGAGACCGGAGAGAGACCAGAGAGAGACCGGAGAGAGACCAGAGAGAGACCAGAGAGAGACTTGAGAGAGACCAGAGAGAGACCGGAGAGAGACCAGAGAGGGACCAGAGAGAGACCGGAGAGAGACCAGAGAGGGACCAGAGAGGGACCAGAACGTGTTCAAAATTTTTTTTGCCAAATTTGAAAAATGTTTAATTCTGGTTATTCATTACTTTGTGCAGTGTGGTCCAGAAGGAGCAGAGACCAAAGTCCAGAAATGTCGTTGAATGTGAAGAGTCCTGGATCAACAACTCAATAATGGCTGAGCTGAAGTTGGATGGATGACACAGTGAACTTGTGTTTATGATCTCACAGACTGCTTTGTATTAGCGAGGCAGAGGGCCACATAAAATGACACAGAGGGCCGCAACTGGCCCCCGGGCCTGAGTTTGGACAGGCCTGCTCTATGTGTTTTAACACCATCGCATTTGCTGTGTTAGAACTGTTTGATTCTTTAATCTGTTGTGGGTGAATCAACAACTTTTCGGGCTATACACAAAAAATACATTGATTTGAATCGAATTATTTTGACTCCAAACGGTTCTTTCTCTTCTTCACCTTTTTCTCGGACGAACAGAAAAAGCCACAAACACAACAACAAAGGCTGCGCTCTCATTAAGTCAGCGGCTAAAGCTCCGCACAGAGGCTGAGGCGGCGCAGAATAATCCCGGCTCAATCTGGAAACTGGCACAGAATCTCAAATGTCCACAACAAGAGGCAGAGAAGGAAGTGAAGGACACATCCTCTGGCAAACACCAGGGAACGGCACCAG